GGGGGAGGAGGGCTGGGAGGGAGGAGGGCTGGGGGGAGGAGGGCTGGGAGGGAGGAGGGCTGGGGGGAGGAGGGCTGGGAGGGAGGAGGGCTGGGGGAGGAGGGCTGGGAGGGAGGAGGGCTGGGGGGAGGAGGGCTGGGAGGGAGGAGGGCTGGGAAGGAGGAGGGCTGGGGGGAGGAGGGCTGGGAGGGAGGAGGGCTGGGAGGGAGGAGGATTGGTGAGGAGGAGGCTGCCTTTCCCACTCCAACGTTCCCAAGACCACGTTGCCCTTACGAGCCCAGCGCAGTCCTGAGTAAGAAGGGTCCTGGAGCTAATGAGGCCTAGCTTTTCCCTGTTTGGCGGGGGCAGGGGAGCAAGGAGGACACAAGAGAAGAGAGGAGGAGCACAACCCATTCCTGGAAGAGCCCACAGATGAGACGGGTGGTCCCCCAGTCCCTTCCCTCAGCCTCCATACACACACACACACACACACACACACACACACTAACACTCACAAAGGTATGAGAGCAGTTAAGGAGGGATGGCAATTAATAGTTGGCCAAGTGACATGACACAGGCCAACAACAGACTTCATTTGTTCATTGACTCACCTGCTTCTTTGTTGGTCATAAGCATCAGTCTATCCCTCCCTCCCTCCCTTCCATTCCCACGCTCCCTCCCTCCCTCCCTTCCATTCCCACGCTCCCTCCCTCCCTCCCCGCCCACCCCATGTCTCCACTTGGCCATCATTTCAGTAAGCATCTGGTGAGGCTCTCCGTGAGCCACACTGTGCTGGATGCTGGAGATACGGAGCCGAACAAGACCCCATCTCCCCTCAGAAAGCATTCAGCTCAAGTGGGGGAAAAGGTCATCCTGTGACTATCACCAAGCATCAATGGGTTTTTGACAAAAAAGGGAGCGATGGTGGATCAGAGCAGCCCACCCCCTTTTAGGCAACTGTTCCCTGTGGCTGGGAGCGTCTGAGCAGAGCTGATGCCCCCCCCACACCTCAGTGTCACAAGCACCCCAGGTATATCAGAGAGCAGGTAGAAGGTAGCGAGCTCACAGGGGAGGCCAGCTCTGGGCTGCATCCCATAGTGCAAGCGTTGTGATTGTTTTCAGAGGATCAGGGGCTCAGAAACGGGTTGGTCCAACTTGCTCACACATCAGCTTGGAGTCAAGATCAATGGTTTAACGCAGCTTCGCCACTCGCCAGATGCCCATGTCACTTCTCTCTGCATCTGTGTTCTCACCTGTTTAGTAGAAGGAGAAGCCCCTGTCTTGCTGCCCTTAGAACCTGGGCACACACTTCCTTGGGAATTGGAAGTTCCATTTAAACAGCAACTTGCATGCTGAGTTTAAAGGGCAGGTGACGGGGAGGCTGCCCTGAGTTGTGCCCTCAGGTTCACAGGCCCTTCATCCTGCTTGCCACAGTGGCCCCACCACCCACTCTATCCTCAGAGGGCAGCAGACAGCCCCTGAGCCCACTCTCCTCCTCCCTCCCGATCCCCCCGGGGCCCGGCCCAGGTTTCAAGGAGACGGCTTTCCTGTATGCGGTGTCCTCGGCCGCCCTCACGCACACTCTGGCCCGGGCCTGCAGCGCCGGGCGCATGGAGCGTTGCACCTGTGATGACTCTCCAGGCCTGGAGAGCCGGCAGGCCTGGCAGTGGGGCGTGTGCGGCGACAACCTCAAGTACAGCACCAAGTTCCTGAACAACTTCCTGGGGCCCAAGAGAGGAAGCAAAGACCTGCGGGCACGGGTAGACGCCCACAACACCCACGTGGGCATCAAGGTGAGCACGTTCCCGGGTCACCCAAGCCCTTCCCAGCCAGAGTGCAGGGCTGGGGAGCGAGGTCTCTAGGCCATTATCCGCCCTGCCCCCTAGCACACACATAGAGCCGGCCCAGAATGAACCTCATCCTTGCAACCAACATTCCTTGGGCATCCATTCTGGACCATTACCAGGTACCAGGAAGTAGAGAAGGATCCTGGGCATCACTGTCGGCTGGGCAGCAGGTGGGAGCTTGGCTCAGGATGGGGCCTTGGTGAGGCAGAAACGTGTTTGGAGAAGGGTCTCCATTCCAAGCACTGGCCTTCCTGGAGGTCCTAGAAGCCAAGGTAGTTTGAAAACTGAGCTGGTACAACCCCTGTCCCTTCTCCATTTTACAGATGGGAAGACAGAGGAGGCCCAGAGAGGGGAAGGAAATTGGCTGAGGTCACACAGTAGTGGGAGGGTGGGAGGGTAAAAAGTATCTAGGTCTACTCGGACCAGAAAGCTGGGAGAGGCTAGGCCTCCATTTCTTTAAGAAATTGAGTTCTGTGTTCTGTTTCCTTATCACTGAATTTGTGTAAACCAGGGCTGCTGTGCTCAGTTGTGCAAGCTGTCTGCTCCACAAGGACTTTGGGCCAGGGGAGGAGCTGGGGCTAACATCCAGCCCACACTGCTCTCACCAAGATGTGAGGACCGTCTCTGCCCAGAGGAAGGGGCGCCTAGAGCTAGTTTGCACTAAGGTGCCACGTGGGCCAGCTAGAGTCTTATCTGCACCCCCCCATGGGGACCTTCCCCTGTCTCTTTCCCATCCTCCTGTTGTTCCCCAGCCAGGGATGGTGCTCTAGGGTCTGTGGGCCCGGGTCTCTGACCACGCCTCCCTTCTGCCTCTCCTCGCAGGCCGTGAAGAGTGGCCTCAGGACCACGTGTAAGTGCCACGGCGTGTCGGGCTCCTGCGCCGTGCGCACCTGCTGGAAGCAGCTCTCCCCATTCCGCGAGACAGGCCAGGTGTTAAAGCTGCGCCACGACTCAGCCGTCAAGGTGTCCAGTGCCACCAACGAGGCCTTGGGCCGCCTGGAACTGTGGGCACCAGCCAGAGCAGGCAGCTCCACCAAGGGCCCGGCCCCACGGCCTGGGGACCTGGTCTACATGGAGGACTCACCCAGTTTCTGCCGGCGCAGCAAGTACTCGCCCGGCACAGCGGGCAGGGTGTGCTCCCGGGAGGCCAGCTGCGGCAGCCTATGCTGTGGGCGGGGCTATGACACCCAGAGCCGCCTGGTGGCCTTCTCCTGCCACTGCCAGGTGCAGTGGTGTTGCTACGTGGAGTGCCAGCAGTGCGTGCAGGAGGAGCTTGTGTACACCTGTAAGCATTAGGCCCCCTGCCCAGTGTGCCAGCTGGACTCTGCCAGGACCTCGCATGGCACCGGGCCACCTCGAGGCCACCTAGATGTCCAGCCAGCCCCCCTGGGCAGGTGCACGCAGCGTGCATGCACTCACCCACGTGCATGCCAGTGCACATGTGTTCCTCTCCCCACTGGGTCCCATCAGGCTTCCCCTCCCTCAACTCAAAAGGTGGGAGCCCCACCCCTGAACCCAAGGGTCCCCAGCCTTGTTGAGGACTTGGAGTGGGAGGGCAGAGTGGGAAGGATGTGGAGGGAAATAAGGGAGGCCAAGAGAAGGGCAGGACTGAGGTTTTGGAGAGGAGACGGGGTGCATCCCGCCATCTCGATTCCTGGGATTAGTGGCCTAAAGCCAGCAAGATGTTGGGAGGTGAGCTTCTGGGCCAGGAAGGCTCAGGGAGGCAGGGTCAGTCAGAAGCAAAGGCCGGAGTCTGCCTGGGATGGGTCAGTCCAGCTGTAAGTGTGACCGGGGGTCCACTTGTGCTGTGAGGCCCCAGTGCAGCTGGCATTCGTGATACACAAGACTTGGTTTATGAGTTCTGATTCGGTTACGTTTGTACACTCACAGCTACTCATCTAATTAAGATTTTTACCAGGGCTAGCGTTATAGGCGTGGGAAAGTCTTTGCTAAGCCTGGCGCCTTGGGGGACCCCTTCATTTACTAATGGTCCTCCACTTTGGCTCTTACCTGAGGAAGAGAAGTGACTGCTAATTCCCTCTGATCCTGTGGACCTTTCCATTGCTGCCTACTGAGGCCCTGAGAGGGAGGAGAGAGAAGATGGTACATACACACGGGTGCACACAGGCACCCCCCCCCCACATGCATGCACACCCCTTGGACCTGCCAGGCTGAGGGCTCTCATTCAGTGACACACACCTCTCTGGTTCAGGATCAAGACCTTGCAGGGGTCACTTTGCTGGAAGCTGTGTGCTTTCCCAGAGCAGAGCCCGATGCCAGCCAGGAGGAAGTGACCTCCTTCGGGACGCCCTTGGCTGCTTTGCTGGCCCTGCCGCGCCCTCTGTCAGCTTCCTTTCTCCCGGAACCCAGAGTTGCTGACCCTTTGCTGAGACAGGAAACTCTTCAGAATCAGCCGAATGCTGAGAAACCATCTGTGCAGGCCCAGGAAGAAGCCCCCGGGGCTCCCCGTGATCTCCAAGGGTGAGGAGAAGCTGCCCCGTCTTCGGTGGATCAGGCAGCCTCCAGAGGGATGCTGGAAGGATCTTTGGCAGCAGAGGCTCTGATGAGAAGCCAAATTGACCTGAGGCCCCTTCCGAGAGTGACTTTGCTGACCCAAGCAGCTGGCCCACATCTTGGCAGGAAGAGAAAAAGGACAGAGGGCTGTTTCCCTAGTTTCTTCCACTCCCCAACCGCAAGGAGACTTTCTCTCTGCCAGCCCGCTCTATCCTCCTGCTCTGAGACCCCAGCCCTGCCTCCACCCTGGCTCAGCCCTAGGCATAAGGCAGCAGGAAGAGGGCGCCCAGTCCACCAACATGCCATCTGCATCCAAGTCCATGGCTGGCAGTGCCGGGGCGGCAGGAAGATAAAGGGTAGCCTCTGAGGGACTGTGGCCACAGTCGGCCACTAACACTGACCAGGCCAAGGGCACGGGTCAGGCTCTGAGGGCCCCTCGGCCCATGAGGTCTTCCCTGTGCAGCCATCTCCCCTCTTCTACTTCCCTGTTCCCACCCCTTTCTCTTCCAATTGCCCCCAAAAGTCCACCTCAGCCCCGCTGGGGCCCCTGGGACCAGTGACCACGGACCTCTCCTTCTACAGCTTTAAGGGAAACACTCACAGGGTATTTTTTTTGTCTACCTCGCATGTATAGTTTTTAGGGCAAAAGAGAATAATTTATATAGCTAAGATATATGAGAAAATATTTATGTTATTTATATAGTCTCTATATTTTATGGGCAGCTGCTCTGGGGCTTGTGTATTCTGCTGGAAGCCGTCTATCTGGGGAGATGCAGCTGCCCTGACTGGGGCGCCCACCCAGCTGGACACCAGGTGGCCGGGGAGAAGGTCTTGTGGGCTCCGTGTCCCTTGACGCGGTCTGTCCCAGAGCTCGTGAGCAGCATCCCTTCTGCACAAGAGCTCTGATGGGCTTGATCCGGATCCTCCTTGTAAAGTCGTTGTAAATTCTCTGCTCCTCTGGGTCCCAGGCCCCCTCTTCTGCTCTGGCCAAACTTGTCTTGCTCATGGTAATAATGATGACAAGGACGACCACACTTTGCATTTGTAAAGCACTTTTGATCTTTGGAAACACTTTTGTCCCTTTAATCTCACTTGATTTCCCCATTATCCCCGTGAGGTAGGGGCGGCTACATAACTGTGCCCATTTTACAAGATGTGGCCCAGAGATGGAGGTCTGTGTTCAGAGTCACACTGAAGAGGTTCTTTCAGTGAATATTTATTGAACTTTAACCTGGGCCAGATTATGGGTGCTGACTTACCCAGAGCCTGGGAGCCCCAAGTCTGGATCCACCCTGAGTCCAAGAACCCAGGGATGCGGCTGCTTCCCTGGCTGTGTGCGACCCTGCCTTTTGGATCTCGGCAGCATGTCAGCATTTCCTGTGTCTCAGGGGCTGGGACTGCCTGAGAGGCCTGGAGAGATGAGGACCCCGTAGACGCCACTCCAGGGGCCCCACCACTGGGCCCTCCCTCCTTCTGCCCACACTGCCTGAGAGGGTTGGGTTACGACACAGGGCCCCTGCCAGCCCACAGATGGGCTTTGTTTGCTCTCATCTGTGTTTTTCTTTTAAAAATGATCTGTCTTCAATTGGCTTTCTGGCTTCTCTTGTAAAATCAGCTGCACTGGCAAATTGGTCCTGCATTCCCACCTTGGCCGCAGTCAGCTAGAGAGAGGGACCCCTATCAGACAGGATGCACGGGGGCTCCCCAGTTTGCTAAGTACCTCCCACCTCACTTGTGCATGCTGCCGCCTGGCTCTTGTGGGCACATCATGTCTTCCCCTGGTCCAGATAAGCCCAGCTTCCCTGGTGTCCTCCACTGGCCGACAGAGCGACAGAGACACCCATGCCAACCCTGAAGATTATTTCTTACTTTCCAGAATTTCCTTTCTCAACAACCATGAACTTCAAAAGCTTTTGTCTCAGCACACTTTAGAATCACAACCAGACCTATAGTATATCGAGCACCTGTTCTGTTCATCCATTCAGTCAGCGATGGTTTAGGGAGCTCCTACTGAGGGCCAGCCACCACCCCGGGTGCTGGGGTGCAGCAGTGAAGGAGACCAAGTCCCTGCCTCGTGGGGCTGCCACTCTAGCGGGAGAGAGAGAGACAATAAACCAATAAACCACGTGTCAGCTCTTTGTACCTATTTTGTCTCGCTTTATTGCAATAACTCTGCGTATTGGACACGACCACGCCCATCTCA